TATATATATATATATATATATATATATACTTATTTCTTCCAATTTTGTAAGGAATTGTGAGAGGTTATTATACGAGCCTCCAGCCATATTTAATATGTCTAAACAATTTGAGTACCACATTCTTAAGTCCAACTATGACAGAGGAGAATCAAACTCACAATCTGAGAGGTCTTATACCATGGGTAACAACCAGCAGGCCGAAAAATTATTGCATACATACACCGTGATCTACGGTCAAGATCGGACACCGCGTGCATCTCTACATGCGGTGTACATGTGCAATAATTTTTCCAACAGGTCAGGATATGTTATGTGAGAGGCTATTATACGAGCCTCCAACAATATTTAATATGTCTAAACAATTCGAGTGCCACATTCTTAAATCCAAGGAGAATCAAACTCACAATCTGAGAGGTCTTATACCATGGGTAACAACCAGCAGGCTGAAAAATTATTGCATACCTACACCGCATGCAGAGATGCACAAACTATATTTAAATTACATTTTATTCCTTTCACAGTGCATTCCCTTTTTAATAAATTAGAGGGGCCCATCAATGTATGCATTTATTAAATTATGCAAACAAATTACTTTGATTTCATAGATTTATAAGAAACATTCTATGAATATTTTAAGGTAAATATTCGATTTAATTTAATTGTAAATGTTTTTTTTTTTTTCAAAGCACAAGTCAATAAGAATCCCAAAATTCAAACATAACACGTATGCACAATCAACTCCTAAACTCAAGCATTGTAAGGCTTGAATTCAAACGTTTTATTTTTTTATTTTTTATTTCTATTTTTGGGAGTAATTTTCGCCCCTTTAAATTCAGAATATATTATCTATGTGAATAATATTAAAAAAATATTTTAAATTTTATGATGAGTATTATTTTTATTTTTAAAAATAAAAAAATTGACAACAGTTTTTATGCTGCGGCACTCCACTCATCTTTGTTTTTAAACATTCATTCTTATCAAAAAATTAAATAATAATAATAATACTATTGCAAAAAAAAATTAAAATTAAAATTATGGATAATATATCAAATATACCCTAAATAATTCAATTTATATATCAATATAAATCAATATACACATATACATACATACATACATACATACATA